CCCCAAAACCCCAAAACCCCAAAACCCCAAAACCCCTCCGTTGTTTTAAATATTTGAAATTTGAATTATACTTCCTAATCAATAATGGAAGAGCCATCTTATGAACGATCTCAAAGCCACGTAAGGGACCTTAAAGCTTAGTCAAATACAGCCTCTAGCCTCTAAAACTTGAATTGCTTTATCCAAAGAAAATTAATGATTTGAGACACTTCCTTCAGTTGAAATTTTGATTAATTCAGATTTTTACCCATTTCTGAAAAAATAATGAAATCTACAACATTGGCTTATTTCAACCATCTGTATATAGTACGAAAGAGAATATAAAGATGATACCTCAGAACGGGAAGACCCAGATTCTCGAGGAGGAACTTTTAATGGCGCCGAAATGGAAGGTATTTTCAACATTTTTCATCTTTAATTTGCATAGAGGAACTCAAACAAATCAGGCAGAAAATAGAGAGTATCGAAGCTCAAGCAGCTGAGCATTCTACCAACTCTAGAGAGGTGCCCAATGAAAGGACTTATATTAAGAGTTTAAGAGCTTATGATAAAAAGAGTGCTTTCCCTCAAACTCCTACTGAAGATCAAGTTTTATCACCAACGCCTAATAGAGCAAGGCTACTATCTAGCAATAAGAATACAATGTCAGCTAGAACTGAGAACTACAAGGCACCTCATTTGAAAGCTTTGGATAATAAATTGAAAAGCATGATCCATGAGAAAAAGACAAGGCTGATGAATAACGCTCGATCTCCATTACAAGAAGTCCATAGTAACAAATCCTCTAGGAAATCTACAAGCATTCAAGAGGACAGAGCTACAATGCAATTGTCTAATGAGAATAACTTCTTAAAGAAATAAGTGAATGGAAATGCAGAAAATTATCTCTGAGCTGAATGAGAACACTACTAAAAATTCTCATTTAGAGTATCTTAAGCGAGAGATAGAATCAAAGAACAATACAATCAATAATCTTGAGAGTAAATTATTCTCCTCAGCTCTGAATCAAAGCTCTATTCCAAACACTCAGAGGCAGGGTGACACGGACAAGTTGAAGGAAGTCATCGAGGAGGAAGTAAAGTCTCTCTGTGATACTCTTGCTCAGAAGGTAAAGGACAACATGCTTCCTCGTGAGAAATCGTACATGCACCATCTCCTTGAGAACCATGAGAGCAACGAAGGAAGTATCGAGAGTCTTCTGATTAAAGATAAGATCAACCAACAAGTAAATTTCTCCATGAAGTCAAAGGAAGTTCATAAGCTATCGCATAAGATCCAGATGATTTTTAACACCCTGAAGTCTATCGCTAATAATATGGAAGAGCCCTCCCTCGAGGAGTGTCTGGAGAAAGCCTACCATGTGGTAATGACCCACATTGATGATATCATCAAAGATGATGACGACAGAATGGAGCGTCTAGTAATGTTCGTCCAGGAAAATGAAGACGAAAAGCTTTCAATCCTTAAGGAAAAGGAAGAACAAGAAGAGTATTACCGCGAAATTGAGGACCAGAATAAAGAACTTGAAGAGCAATTCAAAGAACTTGAGGAACAGAATAAGGAACTAGAGGATTACAAGAATGATCTCGAAGAGCAGAGAAAAGACCTTCAGGAAGAAAACGACCAACTTCAGGCTAACAATAAAGAAATTGAAGAGGTAAACAAAGAGCTTGACGCCAAGCTTCTTGAAGCTACTGAGGAGCTCAAGAATTTGTACGAAAAAAATCCAGATTTCGAACAACTTGAGGAGGAAATTGAGGATCTTACAAATGTAGTAAACAACAAAGACCAGCAGTGCCAAGAAATGGCTGAGATAATCGAGCATCTTGAAGGAATCATCGAGGATGAAAAGCAGCAAAATAGTGACCTAAACCAAAACTACGAAGACCTCAAGCAAGAAATTATTGATATCAAGGAAGAACTTGAAGAAAAAGAGAAAATTATTAACTCTTCAGAGGAGGAGAAGGCCAAACTCATCATCGAAAACACCAATCTTGGAGAAGAGAAAGATAAGGAATGAGACAGGCTGTACAATGAGCTACAGAAGCTAATCAAAATCAACGAGAATCTGGAAAATGAGTCTGAAAAGAAGGAAAAAGAGTTGGCTAAAATAGATGACATTTTCACCAAACTCTCTGATAAAGAGTCAAATTTGGTCCAAACCCGGACAGAGAAGGAAGCCCTAGAGAAGGAGCTGGATAGACAGAAATCTGAGTACCATAACCTACAATCTAACATCAGAGATCTACAGACCAGGATTGATACCATAATTGAGAACTCTAAGGGAGAAATTAAGGAGAAAGACCAAAAGATCGAGCATCTCATGAATGAGATTAGTAATTACAAAGATCATATGGCTAAATCTATTGACCTTGTGAAGTTATCCCATTCGAACGACCTAAAGGAGCTCCAGCAGAAGTACGAGCATGCTGAAAGTGAGAAGAACCAATACTATTACGAGCTGAAGAGCAAGAGCAAGGAGATCGAGCGGATCCAGACTGAACTTGAGAACTCAAAAGAGAGCTACAAGAAAGAAATGGAAGATAATTATGAAAAACTTAACCACCTCATGCAAGATGCTGCCAGCAAGAAGGAAGATACTCTTAAGCAAGGGTTCAAAATTGTAGAGCTGATGGACTCCCTCAGAGAGAAAGAGAAAGCGCTCGATGATAAACAAGACGCTGTTTCAGAATCACAGGAGAAGCAGAAAAAGCTCAGTCTTGAGTTAGGAAATGCCCAAGGAGTCATCGAGACCTTACAGAATAGCATCCAAAATTCCGAGAAAGAGCTTGAGAAAGAAGTAAAATTAAGGAAAGAAGAGCAAAGAAGGTTAATAGAACTTATTGAAGAGAAAAATGTTCTAGAAAAGTACCCTGATGAAGTCAAGTCTCTGAACTCAAAGATTTGTAGTCTTGATACTCATTGCCAGAAATTGGAGAAGGAGCTTGAATCTCATCGAGCGATGGTATCTAATAACAACTCTAAGATTAAGGAGTACGAGTACCAACTCGAAAGAGTAAACTCGAAGATCCAAGAAAGGGATGGTATCATCAAGAAGTTGGAGGATGAGATAGAGTCTCTTAGGAATGATATCTATGAGCACAAGAATACGATTCTAGAGAAAACGAATGATGTAAAATATCTGAATAACCAGATCAGCAAGCTGAATATCAACAAGCATAGTGATGCATGCATCAACAGCTCTATTACACAATCATTAAACAAGCTGACTGAAGGTGAGCCTCCTTGTATATCTATAGAGAATTCCAAGATGAAAAAAGAACTTGAGGAGAAGCAGACTAAAATAGAGAGTCTCCAGAAAGAGATTTCAGGACTCAAGACTAACAACTCTAACTGCAGCATGATGAGCAAGCAGATAGAGGATCTCCAACAACAGCTTGAGTCTAGTAAGCAGGAAGCTGAGACTATTATTGACAAGAATATGTCCATCATTGAGGCTAAAGGTAGGTCTCACAACTCAGGAATTTAGAGCATCAAATCGAGGATTTGGAGAAACTAGTCAAGAAGTATAAAAATCAAGATCTTACCAAATCAGAAATGGAAGAATACAGGTATGACTCTAGTAGATTATCTGTTTAGAGTAAAAGCTCTTGAAGAACAAGACAACATCATCGCTCAGAAGGAAGAAGAAGTAAAGCTCTGCATCGAAAAACTGCAGTTCTATACTGAAGTATTTGAGTCACTCGAAAGTCAGCTTGCTTCTGAGAAGCAGAAGGTGTCCAAGCTAACCAAGAAGGTACAGTTTCAAGATGAGCGTATAAAGAACTTGACCTCATATCAATTTAAGAGGGATTCAGAAGACATGGAAGACCTGCTATCCCACTCTATTCGTAGTGATTCCCAAAACAGTAGAGATTATGACTAAAAATCTGTAGTTCAATCATCAAATTTTTTAGAGGGGTTTTGGGGTTTTGGGGTTTTGGGGTTTTGGGG